GTCTGTCTGTCCGGGCTGTCGGGCTGGGTCCCTCGGTCGCCCGTCGGCATCCTCGGGGGCCCGGGCTGGGTTCCTCCGTCCGTCCCTCTGCCAGGGGAGCGGGGTCCGTTTGTGTGTCTGTCCGCTTGCGGGCTGGATCCCTCCTTCTGCCGCCTCCCGTGTGCTGGGACTGCCGGCTGGATCCCTCTGTCGGTGGGAGGTCAACGGGATCCCAGTGTCTGTCTGTCTGTCTGAAGAGGGTGATGGGATCCCCCTGTCCGTCTGTCGGTGGGAGGCTGACGGGATCCTCGTGTCCGTCTGTCTGAGGAGGGTGACGGGATCCCCGTGTCCGTCTGTCGGTGGGAGGTTGAGGGGATCCCTGTGTCTGTCTGCCTGGGGGTAAATGGGTTTAGTTTCTCCTTTTGTCTGCGGGGACTGTTGGGATTGATTTCTTCCTCTGTCGGTTTGAGGATGAGGAGTCGATGTTTCCCCACCTTGTGAAGCTTGAGGGGGTTGCTATGTCCCCACTTGTGAGGGACAAGGGGGGTGCATCCCTCCCCATGTGAGGGCAGGCAGTGCATCCCCACCCGCCTGGCCCTAGTCCTGCCTGCCCAAGGAGGTCCTGGCAGCAGGGAGGGCACAGCAGCCCCGCTGTTTCCCTCTCCCTGTGCCTGTCTGCGAGGGCGGTGAGGTCAGTCCCCTTGCGGGGTGTCTGTCTGGGCCGAGACCTGTCCCTGGGCTGGCCACACCATCCCGTCAGCTGCTGCCACCGTGTCTGGAGTTGTGACTGTAGGGCGGCCGGTTCCCTTGCCTACCTGGGCTGGGTTATCCGGTGCCCGACGCCAGCCTTCTGGGCGTAGTGGGGCCTTGTGTCCCCTCAGTCTCTCTCTGGGCGGGGGGCCAGAGATAGGACAGGGTCTGCAGGTTTGATTAGGCTCTTGCCCTATCGGCTGTGGGAATGGACAGGAGGGACAAGGGAGTTTAGACTGAGATTGCGGTCACTCTTTAAGTGGGACACTCTTAGCTTTTTGTATGCTGGGGACAGGATTGCTTATAACTTTGCTTAAGAACTGGGTGGGACTGCCCATACATGGTGGTTTGTGAAATGCTCGTGGATCGTGTTGGATGTTGGCACTGAATATGGCTGTGGTGATGCAGAATGAGCCCTGTAGGCAGAAGGGTGGGGAATGACCCTGAGACAGTCAGCTGCGTTTGGCCAGAGGCTCAGGAGGTTCCAGTGGTGTGTGTGACAGGCTCTTCTCTTCTCAGGTGAGCCCTCTGCTGAGGGAACGAACACTCTGTGCTCCCAGGTCAGGGAAACATGTCCCGTCGGAAACAGACCACTCCTAACAAAGTTCACTGTGAGTATTATATTACACAGCATTGTGGGATCCTTGCCCCTAGCTGGACTGTTGTGGAGTGAGACGGGGAGGAGGGGAATGATGAAAAGGTACAGTTTGTGGGGGAATGGTGGTTACTCACGTTTCATCTTAGGGACTGTAAGAAGAGAAACTGAGCTCTGTGCATCAGGGGAGCTGGCTGTGTCCTGGCATGGCAGGACAGGGATAGGCTTGAACAAACAACTAATGCTGTAAAGGTAGGTGTGTATGTGCAGGGCCTGTAGCTGTGCTTTGCATTTACACTGTCACGAGTGCAAGTTAGTATGCTAAGAAATGTGACTTCGGGGCTCTGGCCCATCTTGGGTAGCGAAGCAAGTTCTAGGCAAGGTGGTTTGAGTGTGTGGCTGAAAGGCAGGAAGTCCTGCGTTCTGATCTTTGCCCTACCACAGACTCAACTGACTGGCCTTGGACATG